GGCGATCGCGATGGCGCGCAACGGCGGCATCGGCATCATTCATCGCTACCTGTCCGTGACGAGCAGGCACACACTCAACCCACTCAAGCTCCCATTGGAAGCAAATAGACCACGCCCAAACCGGTCTTTGGTACACATTTATATATAACTTGCTTTTTAATATTTTAAATGGTTCTCGTGGACAGGCTAAGGAAGTGGAGAAGGTCAAGCGCGCGGAGGGCTACGTCATCGACACCCCTACTGCATCGGTACGCGCTGCACGGCGAGGGATTGTCTCACAATGCGCGCCCGCGGCCGCAACGTACGTTGGTCGGTGGCGCAAACGCTAAAAAGCTCTCTGGCGGGTGTGGCTCTGTGCACAGATCCGTCGGCGACGTACAAGGACTTGGATGAGAAGATGGAGGAGGCCGGCGTGTCCTCCATTCTCGTGGTGCAGGAGGGCAAGCTGATGGGCGTGGTGACCAGGCGCGACGTCGCCCTCATCGATGACCCCAACGAACCAGTTTCGAAGGTTGACACCACGACACACGCGACACACGGCACACTACACGATCTCTGTGGTGCTAAACACCTCCGGGGGGGGGGTTAGATCATGACGCCGCGCAAGGAGCTGATTGTGGGTCGCCCCGGCATCGGCTTCGAGGAGGCCCGAGACATCGTCCAAGCAAACAGGTATCTATATGGGGCGTATGATGGTGGTCTTTGTCGTGGTCGCGAAAGATTGCTATTTGGTGGTGATGGTGATGGTGATGATGGCGATGATGATGACCACATGTCCTTCTTGAATCGGGCAGGATCAAGATTTTGCCTCTCGTGGACGAGGAGAACAGGCTCAAGGGCCTGGTGACGTCGAAGGACATACTTAACCAGATGCGCCGTCCCTTTGCGTCGCTCGACAAGCGCGGCCAGCTGCTCGTCGGCGCCGCGGTGGGCGTCAAGGAGGGCTTCCTGCAGCGCGCGGAGCGCTTGATCAAGTCCGGCGCCAACGCTCTGGTCATCGACATTGCCCACGGCCACAGGTCTCTCTTTACTCAACTCCCCCAACGTATTATTAGTATTTATTTATTTATTATTTTTGTTTGTTATTAAGACTGGCGTCTTTGGTGCTGCAGTGATTTGGCGATCGACGCGCTGGTGGCGCTGAAGAAGCACTTCCCCACGATGGACGTCATTGCAGGCAACGTGGCCACGGCCGAGGTATTCATACCAATCAGTACTCAAATTTTTTGCATTCTTCTTGTCCATCCTCAGTGCACCTCTTCTTGTTCATCCAGGGGACGCGTGACCTAATTGATGCGGGAGCCGATGGTATCAAGGTCGGCGTCGGGCCTGGTTCCATGTACG